ATAATTCTGGAATACTTCCGGGTGCTGTGCTCTCCCCCTACCTATTTTTGACTTTCATCAGTGACTTACCCTCAATCCCACCAGCGAAAACCTTCAAGTATGCCGATGACGTCATCATATGTCATGCCATCTCAAACTAATAGGACAGAGAATCATTTTCCGACAATTTATTGCAAGTTCAATCATTTTCGAACCAATCCGGTCTCCGACTGAATACTTCTGAATGCTTTGAATGCATTTTTAGTCTTTCCCGATCCGCATACCCCCTGGATCCCTCAGTCATCAATTCCTTACCCATCACCAGAACATGCCTTAAAATACCTAGAAGTTACCATAGATAGCAATCTACGGTGATCCTCGCATGTGCTTGCTTGTGTTGGTAGACTGCGTCTTATCTTTTCAAGTAAGCAAGCTACGACAATTTCGCGTCAGGCATGAAACTGTGTATCCCGTTGTGTTGAATCTGTTTGCCGCCCTCCACACGTTCCACCCCAACAGTCTGCCTATAGTCACCTCTCCCTCGAGTGTCATTGTCTTCACTCGTATGAATTATCGATCATCAGACATGCAGTTTTCCTCCGTTCTATTTTTCATTCATCCACCACACTCGGTCCCCTCCCCTCTCTCTTTCTCGTGACCGTTGTCCCTGACCTTAATATGGTCTGACTCACCCTGCCCTATTACTATCGTTTGGAGTTGCCTAATCTTATTCGGATTGGTCCTCTGTCTCATCCATGCGTCAACCTGTCCCATGTGCGCTTTGACGTTATGTCACTAGTCGCCTCCCTCGTTTGCATCTTGGTTCTCCGGTTCAGGCACATCCCCTGGGAACGCCACGATTTAAGGTGTGCTATTTATGTAATTGTGCGCCCGTTTTGGTTGCAAACATCGCTTCTAATTTTAAACTTACAAAGATGAATACCTGTTTCAGTTTCGTCATTGTTGTATATTAACTTTCATTTTATTTTTTATCCCACAGAAAGATGAACATATTTTTGACTGAAATGTGGGCACAGTCGCCTGCATAAGTCATCTACAATACAATAATACAATACAATAATTATGCAAGCAATACTGTAATGTGATTGGTGGAAGGCGAGATAACCAATGATCTTCTTTAGTACATATTATTTAATCGCCTTCATTTCTTCCAATAAACGAACTACGTGTTGCCAGTCTTGTGGCCTTTTCCTCGCGTCTCCATCACGTTGGACATTGCGTGTTAGTGCCATTGCAGTCTAGTGCTTCCGTAATCCACTCCGTGATAGCTGATCCTAGATTCGTGTCCTGTGATTCGTATTGCTTAGTTCGTGTTCCGAAGTCCGTGCGTATTACTACTTTTACTAATACTGCTACTATAATAATTACAGGAACCCATTGGGATTGTGCAACCACAGTGATGCGGTCAGCATCACCTATTTCAGGTGTCGCCGGTGATATGACCATCAATCTGATTGAGTGGTAAATTCCTATAAAGATATCTCCAATATAGTAAACCCGTTCGTTAGCTGCTTTTCACATTCTGTATTCTTTGGACTAATCAATGACCGTCTCATAATATGCGATTTCTGGGGTCAGTTTATATAGCATAGCTTTCACATACACACACACACGCACCGAGCAATCGAAATCGATCTGAGTGTCCTCATTCGTTTTATCGTTGCACCGTCAGCGATTCTTTATCAATACTAATTTTTGTCGCTATGATAACCACAGTTTGCTGCAGTTGGATTGTATATGCGGGCAGATAGACGGTATGGTTAGTACCTCAGGAAGCGTAATTCTTAATTGTCTATGTTGTGCTCTATTTTGGAGCACAGAGATGCTGGTGCAAATAGACCAGTCGGCGTTGGAATACGGAATTGTATACGACCGATCGATAGCTTCTTTCCGAATTGCTCACACTGACACACGTTGAGTGAAGATTAAATTATGTGACAGAAAATTGACTTCGGTTCAAGTAAGCCGATCACAAACGTCGACATTGTACTGAAGCAGATCAACAGAAGAGGAGCTTAGATAAACCTACATAAACTAGAGTTAAAGTATGTATTTCAGACAATTCTGAATTCAGACTGTATGATAAACATATCATAGTACAATAATCTTTATTAAAAAATAAGAAAAAGTTCCATGATTTGTTTATTGGTTAAATAATGCCAGATTGCTCAGGCTAAGGCGGGTGCATTTTCTTGCGGGATTTACAACCGGGGCCTTTGACTCGACAAAGCTGGGTGGTAGGTGAAAACCGAAATCCACTGAGGCCCAGTATTCATTCAGTCAATCGGATTAGACGCCTCGTGGCCGGGGTCAAGATGTCCGATTGAATCACATTCTCAAATGAACCGTCGAATCACACAAACAATCGTCGGCCGGAATCTCCCATCACCGAAACACGTAAGTGGCGATTGGTTTAGTGAGAAAAATTAATCGGCCTAAATAATTATGTTCAAATAAATGTCATCGGCTAAACAGGTCTTCGGCAATAGAGCCTGTTTGC